AGCGACATCGTCCACCAGAGCGTGTACGAGCTGGTCCACTCTGAGGACAGAGAGGAGCTCCAGCGCCAGCTCATGTGGAACTCTCACCTCCTGCCCGACCAAGCCCAGCTCACCCTGCAGGAGGCGCTGCAGGCAGACCAGACGCCCCTCGAGAGGAACTTCACCGTTAGATTCAGATGCCTTTTAGATAACACTTCAGGGTTTTTAGTGAGTGTGCTTTCTTATGTATGTTTGGTTTCCATCTTTTCGTGTCATATATATATTTTTTTCTTTCTTATTTTAGATCTCTCTTCTCTTTTTCACCTTTTCCGTATTTTTCTCTCTCCGTATTTTTTTTTTTTTTAATCCCTTCCCTCCCTTCCCTTTTCTTCCACCTTTCATGGTTTCATGTTTCTTTAGGATACATAAACATTTCGCGTTTTTTTCTAAAACCCTCTCCCGCCCTTTTCCTTTTCTGTTTTTTTTCTCTTTCTTTCTTTAGATACGACTTCTGATGTAGTTAAGTATTCTTTTCTGTTACATTAACTTACTTCATCATCTTCCTCTTCACTTCCATTTCCTCCTTCGCCGCCATCTTTATCGTCTTTCTTTTCTTCTCTCCTTTCCTTCATCTTCCTCTTGTTTGTCTCGTCTTCCTCTTCTCCTCCGACATTTTGCTCCTTTTTATTATTTTCTTCCTGACACCATTACCGTCTTTCTCTTCTTCATTACCATTCCCAGCTTTCGCCTCCTGAGCCTGTGTAATAAGTACTTCTTGTTTGAGTTTCTCTTGCTCCGTGTTAAGGCGCCTGCCCAGGAAAGCAGAGAAGGCTTTATATCATGCAGTTTAACCTAACCACCAGACCACAAGATGCAATCAAAAAGGTTTAACGAACTAGAAAATAACTCGTTTTTATCTCGAAAACAATGCTACTACACTGCTTGTTACGAGACGATAGGTAATTATGGTTTTACAACGCGGAAATATGAAACCTGATGCTTGCGATTTTAGATAGGAGGGAACAGGGGGTAGGTTGAGGCTGGTCAAGTGTAATGATTGTATAATCGTTTTACATTGCCTGATGCTGTGGTTTATTAGAGATTTAACACCAGAGTAAACGTTAGGCTGTGGTTTATTATCATAAACTATTGTCTCAAAGATTAGTTAAGTAAAGATATTCTGGTTTATGGAATTATTTTGATCTTTATGGTCGTTAGATTTTGATTTACCTCGCTATATATCTGATTATCTTTCTATCTCATTCTCTGTCTATCTCTCTGAATTAATAAGATTTACCTCATATAATTTCGATTCCTCCAGAGACGTAAATAGTTGCCTGATTTATAATGAGGAAATATATCGCATTAACAGCAAGGCCATCACGGGGGTCGGGGAGCAAGCATTTCTGCTCCACTAATTTCCTTAGTTTTAGTCATCTTCCTTTCTTTGCATACTCTACATTAGCGTTTTCTGTATTTCGTGACCTGGTTAAACAATGAATAGATTAAAAAAACAAACGGAAATACAAACAAAATAAATGGAAGCAAGAATGAGCAAAGGAAAGAAGACGTTCGTGATGATGATGCCAAAAGGACTTTAGAAAAATCAATTCTCGTCAAGTTTCTTGAAACTACAGGAATGTTCTTTTTCCTCGTGAACTATCAATGTTGTGAACATCTACAGTTAATGTTCTCATTTTCGTTATCCATTCTATTCCTGTATTCTTTTTTTTACAGGGTTTAGTGCTATAGACAGAAAAATTCATTCGTATCTGTGCTCCTTCAACTTTGTGAATATTTCTTTTCCTTAAAAAGAAAAAAAAAATATCCCGTCCTTGTAAAACACTGTTGCTTGGTTTTCATTTTTTACATCAGTCATTATTTCAGAAGCAATATTTTTTGTTTATATTTATATATTAACTGATACGTCCATTATGTTTTCAAGTGAAGCGTGTGGAATCTTATCGTTTTCCTTCCCACAAAGTTCGGTATTTATTTTTTTTTTTTTTATATATTTTGACATTCTGAATCTTTCTATCTTTTCATTTCATCAGTTACTTCGTCGTCCCAGCTTTTTCAATTTCAGTTCTGTCTCTTACATCACTCTGTTCTCATTTATGATGATCTAATACTTATAATCTAATCATTTGTTATCATATTATATTGCATTTCTATTTTTTATTAACTAGATTAGGCGCTGTTGAGTCGAGGAAATTCATTTCTCTCCGTATTATGTTTTGATTCACATTTATGTTTTACTAATTTACTTAATAGATATTTCCACGTGTTTATTGTCTTGTTGATGATATGTTATCATTGTCATCACTATCATCATTACTCTCATGAACATTTATTATTCTGATTATATAATGATGATGATTATTATCATTTTCTATCGTGTGAACTACTATTTCTTCTTTATTGTTATTGCACCATCATGACATCTACCAACGTTTTCCTTCATGATTAACCCCGCCCACCCATCGCTCCGCAGAGGCTGGACGTGCGAGGGCGAATCAAG